TAATCAAGTCTTCTTTCAAAGTTACCTATCTGCCTTCTGCCACTCCCCATTCAATAAATGCCATCTTTATGCCTTTATGATTCCGTAGGCTTATCTTTTTTATTAACATATTATTTTAACTTGTTCAATTCCACTTACCTGCAACATGATCCCTATAATCATAGATATGGTTTCTATATATTAAAATAGAATAATATATTTTTTTTCCATCTTAATATTTTTATAATTGATTAATTACTTTCACTAACATGTACATAAAGAGGACGTCATAAAAATCTTGATGTTATAAAAGATTAGGATCTGTCAATTTCCTTCAAGACATTGACGTTGGAGTGTTGTCCATATTCTTCAGATGTATCCTTTAGGTTAAAGCTCAACTTATGTCGAAAGAATTCCTCAACTCACATCTTTATCAATGATTTTACACTAATTTAAACGGACATAATAACAGACTTATATGAGACATGGCCTCAGATGACATACCTCAGAACATGAGGAGGAGACTAAAAAGGCGTTGGATGGGAGATCTCCTTTCTTAAACAACCTAAGTAATTGAAACAAGTTATACTTTCCTTCCCCATACCTGTCATTATTTCCTATATCTCGAGTACATTTGGTGATTGTTAACAAAAAGTTGACAGATGCAAATGCAATTTCATAGAAAAAAAAAAAAAAAAAATTACATTGTTGTCTCCTATCTCCAGATTTCAAAGCTAGTATATTCTTAAAAAATACATTAATTTCAATTGTTGTATGGAATTTGATGAAATTAATATTATACCGCTTGTACACTATTTCTTAATGGTTTGCTCCAAATTTGGTGGTAAGTGATATGCCCATCAAATGGATTTTACTGCAGAAAGACAGGATGACAAGAACCGAACAAACTTTGTTCATTGATGTCCAGGATGTAAAACCCGAGTGAAATTTTCAATTCTGCTTACAACAATTTTCAAAACTCTTTTCCAACCGTAGTAGTGAAGAAGAAAAACACTAGGCTGATGGTTAATATATTAATGCATTAATATCTATCAGATAAGGCGCAATCATATAAGTAATTTATAGTGATGAAATTTCTGAAAATTAATTTATTGGAAACAAAATGTTAATTGAAAACTAAATGAAGTTTCCCAACTAAACGGAAAATTTTAAAATTATTTTTAATCTTGACCATAGAAAACTAAAAAAACGCTGCAAATTATTTCACAATGGTTTTAATTTCCAAACAATTATACATCTAAAGTAACATTACCTTCCTAATTACAAAGAAAAATAAATAAAATGTGATTCCAATTATTGGACTAAACTTTTTTTTAATCATTAGTAATATGCTAAAAAAACTAGCATTACTTCAGTAACTCATTGAAAATTCAAAAAACAAAACAAAGCATATAACCTTTGCAGTAGAACATACAAAAAGAAACTAGAGACCATATCTTTGCTCCTAATTTTCGGATTTTAACGAGCTTTTTTTTTTTTTTTTTTTTTTTTATTTCGTAAACTTCGTTTAATAGATTAGTCATTTCGAATTCTACGTATCCTGAAACATCAAATTTTGAGAGGGAGTTAAGTTCTGAATTTTTTGGTCGATCACAATGGTTCATTATTGAAAATAATAAACCAAAATCTGGTGTGTCCTCTCACACGACTTTCTTACCTATTTCAGAAAAAAAATTATGTCTTTAAATGTGTTGCTTAGGTACAAAAAAAATCAATTCAATTCATTTTTTTTGAAAATTGATTTATAAGGAATTTCATTCAAAGCGCAAACCCCGGTTTTTCGAACTTAGGGAGCTCTGAAACGTAAAAATCCGTTGAAAACCGAAAATGAGAAATTTGACTTTATCGCAATACTTTCCTTACATAGTGGTAAGTATGAACGTTTGTCGAAAGAAGTACTAGCCGCTGAAAATATTTCAAACAGTTTATATGATATATGGTTATAACATTTAAGAACTTTAGCTACAATTATAAATTTAAATAGTTAAATATTAACTGACCCTTTCAAAGCGGAAATTCAATTGTTTTATTGCGTTAATAAATGAAAGTTGAAAGAATTACTTTATTTAATTACATTATTAAATAGAAAGCATTTATTATTAAATAATATTAACCCTAAACAGATATTGTATCAAGTAAAAATTAAGTAATAATATACAGTTTTGCGAAAGTCAATATCACATAGCAGCTAAAGAAAGTTCATGTACATTTTTTCCACATGACAGAGTGAAAGTCATCTCTCTAATATTTTTAAAAAGTTTTCTGAGGCTTTCATATTTCATTTTATTTTATTATTAGGAGAGTAGGAGATTACAGGAGCTCTCCTATTAGTTCTATAATTAGCACTAATTATACAGCGTTTCATTTAATTATATATGTGCTGAGCTCCTGTAACCTTCTACTATTTTATGGTAATACAAAATAGAGATTTAAAATTTGGTGTCAGTAATGAGTTCTTGTACCCTCCTACTTTCTTAATACAAAATAAAGATTTTAGACCAACAATTCGTACGAAAAATGGTATTCATCTGGAGGTGGATCATATATATTACTATTTATATTACATTGTGATATAATTATAATTATAATGAAATAGAAAAGAAAGCTCAATACAACATAGAATGAAAATATTAGATATGAAAGGCTCAAATTGATGTTGGCTTATATGAAGCTAAAAAATTTGAATGTGTATGATGGTTGCAAATCGGCAATAAGAATAATTATAATTATATAATAATATAAATTGGTAATAAGGCGCGATGTAACATATATATTTTAAAATAAACTGTTTTGTTCAATTTATTTTATGTTGATAAAAAATAATACACTCTGAACTACAGAATACATGTAATAACATAGTTATACAATTTGCACAACGAGTAGTACAATTAAATGAACAGTTGTATAATTTGTAAAATGGGGATTGGTCCGCCGTTAGACGGACATCAGGTACTCCTAGTCAATAATAAAATCATGATTAATAGCTCACTAAGCGAGGGCTTCTCTCTGGGCTCTGCAGTTCTTACCAGTTTAGTTTCATTTTAATTCTTAGTCCACATCAGTAGAAATGTGCTATTTTTGTCTCTGAGGCATGTCTCAGTTGGTCTACGTAGACATGTCTCTAGACAAATCTCGTCTACAGACCCGTTGCCAAAAATCGCAGGCCTGAAGTCTCTCGATTGTGTCTCTAGACGGTCTACGCATATACAAATCCTGCAACAATGTCTGCTAGTGTGCATTAGGCTTTATACTGATTTATTCGTAATTTTAGTCTCTCACATATTTTAATGCTAATATTTAAAAAACAAACAGTAAAATTAGTTTGTTAGTTTTCTTAGATTTCTAAAATATCTTAGAAATCATAGAGTTCATCTTTTCTTAAAGAATCTATGCTTGGATCTCAGACGTTATCTGCAATCATTATATTATTTCATTCTGAGTTTCTTTAGAGCCTTATAAACATAATTAAATTCTTTTCATGCACCGTATCAAGTTATATTTCGATCACCAAAGCAGAATTTTCCATATAATACATATGCATTTAATAACAATTTACGAGGAGGAAGATTTGGAGATTAGAGAACTATTTTCGACGTGCTAAGTAAAGCCAGGAACTTCTTGAAGCTCCCAGTAATAGTGAAAACTGAGTGCGACCAACGTTACAATGTCTATATTTAACTACTATGTTTGAAATAAAAATATCTTTAATTTGATTTCTAGTTAGGTACTTCTAAATGCTAGACTAAAGTTAAATCGATCAAACCAAAACAACCGAACTTTTGTGTAAAATACCAGAATGGAGACGTAGAATGAATATTTATTATTATTTTTTTTTATATCTAAGGATTTTAAAACTGTTTATTTTACATATCAAGATTGTAACGAGATCTTGAAAACAATTTCTTGAGAATCAGTCTTTAAATATTTCATTAATCATCATTAAAAACAATCAGATTGAATTTTTATTCATTAGCAACGATACTTTTTATCAAGGGAGCAATTAATGTTTCTAAAGAAAAGCTACTTAACATCCCATTGTCTAAGTTTGAGTTCGTAAATTATCTGATCCCTGAGGTATTAGGCCCCCTCATTTATTTCTGACTCCGGAATTTTATTTATGATACACAGCCTGCCTGATCTTGGCATGCTATTAAATAATTTATGAATTCTACCTCCGATTTTATCCAATTTTTTAAATTTAAACCTAATTCAGCGTTTGATTGAGTCTGGCATCCTGGACTGTTGTAAAAACTCCGCAAATTCCTAACACCCACACAACTCCTCATTACCCGTTCCTATGTTACTGATAAATACTTCAAAGTATATCAAAACAATGCCTGTTCATTACTTTTATCCCAATCTACTGGTGTTCCTCAAGGTAGTATCCTATGTGCTATCTTTTACACAGTTTATACAGCTGCCATCCAAACACTCTCATCACCACGTATGCAGACCACACATGTGTCCTATCAGTGAATAACAATTGCATCCCGAATTCTTCAGTCACACATCACAAGTCTTGGATGAAGTCAAAACTGGAGGATTTTTTTTTTACTATTAGTACAATCTGCCACACTGAAGCGTATTGGTACTAGGGCTACAGTAATCAATCACGCAGTTTGCACATAACAAGGGAAAATAAATATAAATAACTAAAATAAAAAATATATAAAATAATAAATTGAAGCTAAAAATAACTAAAACATATTCACACCTATGTACAATATAAATTTAATATTAAAGGTTAGAAAAGGTGTTGACCACTGGCACTGCTTAATTATTTCACCTAACATAATGTATATATATATTTTTCACTAGTAGATTAAATACATTAGTCCGTCCGTCATTGTACTTCCCTGATCTTCAACAAATTCTTTACCATGAATAATAAAATATTTTTGATTGAAAGTAATTTTAGATCAATATAAAACTATATTTATTCACTTCTGGGAGAGCAAATAAAATTAAAGGAGTGACTATATAATATTGTGAATCCTCACCTCTTTTCCTATGAAAGCACATTTCCAGCATTGTATTTCTTTCTATCTGAAACACAAATCAAGCAATTTTTATTAAATTTAAAATGACTAATTGTGCATTAACTTATTTTTACTATCTAAAAAAAAGTATGTTTCTTTTTTCAGGTGAGTTCATTCAACTCAGAGTCAAACTGTATTGTTCGTTATGTTTCGAAGACTATGTGAAAAAGGTATAGTACAGCTTTGGTTTCACCATGTAGTTTCTCCAAACCTCAATCCTAGTCTGAAACTATTTATTTATAAAAGCATTCTTCTCTTCTCTTGACTTTTACTTTTACCTTCTATGAAACTGAGGCTTAAAAAAAAAAGGAATGTTTTAAGTTGAAATTATGAATACAAAATTTTATTTTTAATACTTAAAAGTTCTATTTTTCCTATCAGTGGTTTAATTAGTTTTGAAAGAAGGATGGCGGGAAATAATAATCCTTTACTACGGAACAATAGCTCTTACAAAAACCGGGAATTTCGGGGTACTGGTACTGGTGGGAGGAACTAGTCCAGAAAGTGGGCCTATCGTGGTCCTTTTTGTCAACCCCCGACGGCTATCTTAAGGTTGCAGTCGCGTACATACCATAGTGGGAATGACACGATCCATTTCCCGTGACCGCCGAGATATGAAAAGTAATTAACCCAGGTGGAAATCGAACCCACAACGTTCAGCCAACCCAATCCACGTCCCAAAGTGTTCGGCCATCCCGTCCTCTAACTGTTGGGGTTGTTTTGGTGTTACATATAACGACTCGTATAAAGTTAACGACTGGTATAAAGTTACTTGATCAAATTATTATTATATTTGGAGACTCTGAATCAAGAAGTCATTCATTTCTACTTAATGGATATTGAAATTTTAGAATTAAATGAAAGTTCTATCAAATCAGCTTTATTTTCTTTTATTACTGACAGGAAAAGATAAAAGCTACTTTTATGATAGTTTTCAATGGCTTTTTTGTATTAATGAACAACTATTTTGGATCCGTACTGCTTATTATTCTGTGGGTTACTTGACGTTTTGGCAGAAATAAACTGTTATTTATGATGTTGTACCAAAGCCAAATACGTTCATTAGAATTTATCAGTAGTTGTATTGTGATTTACTACATGATAGGATAGAAGAATATTTTAAAGACTCCACCGACAATTGCCAGTATTAAAATGCTATAATGTTTGTATAAGTGACTGTGTAACATTCGACTTAAGTATGTCTTAAAATACGATTGCTTTCAGTAATTTCCATTTAAAAATTAATTCAAGAATTAAATAAATTCAATGTTTTTACTTTATTAAAAAAAAAGTAGCAATATTCGTGGTTATTATGGTGTTACCATAGAGTCATTTTAACTCTGATTTGTATAAGGATAACATTTCTATATTGGATAGGAACTAAACTCTATTTAAAAAAAAAAAAGAAATTGATCGAATAATTTTTTTTTTTAAATGTCGATAGTTTTCTTTTAATTTCGTTATACCAAATTATACTAATATATTTATTTATTGTTACTCAAAGATATTTTTGTCGATACGCCATATTTTCCTCAATTCTTCATCAAATCGTATGGCCTCATCAAATTATCTACTCCAGATGCAAAAATAAGCAAACCTTCCATAAAAGTCGGGAAAAAAAGTATTTTTGCATAAAACATAGTATAAAATTTATGGACCATCATGCTCATGATAATTTGAAAAGATTTTAACGAAAATTCTATACAAAAGAAAAAAAAAAATCATAATTGGACGATTGTATTGTTATTTGTTTACCTGATTGTTCAAATATGCCAACTAGTATCATTTATGATTGTTTATAATTTTTTTTAATTATGAAATCATCATAATTCTAATTTGCCTCTATCTAATCAAAACAAGTCATAGTTCTTTCCATACTTAATCCAAAAAATATTTCTAACAAAAATGTTTTAAAAATCTTAGAAAAACTTAAAAACCATTGAAATTGAAAAATTTGTTTTTGTGACAGAATACAAAAAAACATTATTTTCACGTATAGAATTTGTGATAATTGCTTGAAACTGTTTCTCTGAACTACCAGCCATTTTATACATTTAATAAAAATTAAAAAAAATTAAAAACTAAATAGTAAAAACCTAAAAGAAAATATATAAAAGACAAAAATTAAGTCTTCAATAATTTTATCCAATGTAGTATTAAATGTAAGGGAAAATAATATTATTTTATGTAATTTTTTATTTATTGTTTTGTTGCCTCTACCCTGTAGGGTCATTGACAACACCTTTAAATTACACTCGGTTGTAGAATTTTGTCGCTTTTGAGAATCTTAATGTTTATGTAATTATGCCTAAATAAAAATAAAACTAATGGATTCTTGATAATTCCGTCATCCCATTAGCCAGTCAGCCAGAATAAACGTTTAATGCGCAATAATATAGTGCTTAATCTGTAACATTTTGTAAGATTTTATGTTCTACTTAGGGGTTATGAATTATCAGAATTAAACTGAGTTACTTGAAATATTAAACTCCGTAAAGATCTTATCAACAATCATTTGAGTGATCCCTTTATGCTTTGGGAAAAGCTAAAAGCTGTTTCAAATGTCACACATGCTGATGAGAATATGGTGGTTTCTATAATGTTGAGAGCTTTGTCAACCTGCTATTCCCTCTGTGCAAAGCATTTCAGGTTTATTCGAACAAAAGGGCGAAATTATTCACCCTCAACGGCGGTACCTACTTTATACAGTCCGCTGATCAACGGTGCTGTTAAGCCACTTCACCGTTGACTACTCTTTCACAGGAAGTCCACCGAAAATAAAGCAAACAATGCCAACTTGAGGAATCAGCGGGCTTAATTTATTCGGAATAAGATATTTCCATTCTAGTCTATTCGCATTTTAAAACGTCCTTATCATTAATTCCCTGAATTATGAAGAACTTTGTATCAAATCTTATGATGCAAATAAATAAGGAATTGGAGATATTTTATAGCCGGACTAAGATGGAATTGAAGATAGGAATGGTCTATAAGATTTACTCTTAATTAAACTGTTCATCCAACAAGCCTACGTTCTCTTATTTGTAAAGAATTTGCATATTATAAAAAGTTAATAAACATTTTATAATAATAATAATAATAGTATATATATATATATATATATATATATATATATATATATATAAGTTAAGCGTCGGGACTTGGAAAATAAAAAAAAAGAAGGAAAAGGGGTAGAGATGCAACACACACGGCTTCTGAAATAACACTGCTTTATTCGTTCCATAAGCCTCCTTATATACACTCAGCATGTTTATTTACATTACCAGATAGTACTAAGGCTGATACCGCCAGTCTCCGGTCTTTATCTCCCCCCCACCAGTTTACGAACAGGATTTTCGGAAACTTAAATACTCCTAGATCGGAGCCAACGGTGACCAGCCTTAACACTTTACAATTGTTCTTACAGTACATCCTTAAAAGAAAATAAAACCCTTCCACTCAACTGGAAAAATAATAAAAAAAAAATTAAAAACACCGAAACTAAACACAACACTTGAGAACTCTTAATAACCTACACACAAAAAAAAAAAAAAAAAAATACAATTTCCTCTACAGTATCGCTAATAATTCTATTTACATGAACTAATACAAAAAAAAATTTACACAATTTGTTTTGTTTTGACAGGCACAAAAAAAAACATTTTTTTTTTTTTTTTATATACAGCGGTGAGGGTACTACGAATCCGTAGGTCTATGGTCCGGCTCTATCATTGGGAGCTTTAATTGTTCGATATGAACGGTTCTCCTCTTTCTGGGCTCATTCACGCTCTCAATAGTTAACAGGTTATGCTCCCTAATAGCAACCACTCTGAATGGACCCTCGTACCGTAGCAATTGTTTCCCTCTGTTGGTTCCCAATCTCCGGTAAACTATTGTTCCTATTTTTAGTTCCCCCATTTGGTCGCGTACCTGTACATTCTGCCTTTCCACCCGCTTCTGCTTTTCCCGCTTAATTCTCGCCGTTATCTTTCCCCATGTTTTCTCTACCTCTACCCTATTGCTGAGAATTTGATCCACTAACGGTTCGGTAAGCGTAGTTTCCCCATAATCCCGCCTTGGCCTGCGCATCCCGAATAGAACTTCCATGGGTGAAAATCCCGTTACGGAGTGGATCGAGTGGTTATAGGCTGTTACCGCCTTCCTCATTGCCACATCCGGCTCCAACCCTTTTTCTCCCTGATATACACGGACGTGGTCGCTTAATGTGCTGTGCAATCGTTCGATACCGCCTCTACCTTTAGGATGTCCTGGGGTGTTATAATGCCACGCAATTTCCAATCGCTTCACCTCCTCCCTAATCACGGCATTGTCGAACTCCCTACCACCGTCCGATGTAATCCTCTCGGGGACCCCATAGAACTGCACCCAGGTTTGTAGGGCTTCCGCTACTGCATTGGCCGACTTATCCATCACTTGATGTGCCATCGCCATCTTGCTGAATATGTCGATTACCGTGACCCACTTAAACCCTTTCCAGGTGAACGTGTCAATCTGGAGGTCCTGTAGCGGCATATTCCCTGTAGGTGTCTCCTCCTGAACTCCTCTGGGGGGGTGTCGATCGTACTTCGTGCGCATGCATATCTCGCATTTCCCAATGACTTCCTGGATGGACCTCTTCATGCCCCACCAGAAATACTTCCGACGCAATGCCTGCAGCGTCTCGTTAACGCCTCGGTGATTGGTTTTCCCCTGGTGATATGCCACTGTGATTGCTTGCTGCTGCTCTTCGTCTTGTACCGTCTCAACAGCATACTTGCACCGGATGAATGTCCTGTCCACCCCTATTCGCTCGGACCTCCACATTCGCTTTATCTTATCCCATACCGTATTGTTTCCCACGTATAGATAGTGCGTTTTACCCGCTTCCGAGGCGTCCCTCAGTGCCGTACAGATTTGTTCTTCGCTTACTCCGGGTTGCGACCAAATGACGCGGATCCTACTTCTCCCATACCTTCTGAAATCGATTTTCATGATTCCGGCTGTTCGT